ATCTGTTGCTGTCCATACCTCAATTGAGGTTGGACAGTTCCAGAAGAGGTGGGGTATGTTGTTGAGGGTGTTGGGACACCAGGGGCAGTAGGGGCCATCCATGGCTACCATTGCCACTGGGTGGCCAAGGGGTAGGGAGTTGTGTGCTATTTTCCAGAGGAGGTCAGCAACTTTACGTGGTCTGTCTGGGTGAAAAATTTCATCCCAGGACATGAGGGGGAGGGCAGACGTGTTGTGGAGAATTTGTGGGGGGAATGGAGGGGAGTATTTGAGGATATTGCGTAGGGTGGGGAGTGAGGGTTGGTTGAGCATTGTGGAGGGGGATAGCCTTTCAATTTTCTGACAGGCTCTAAGAGCTGTCTATTATTGATATACACTCACCTGCCAAAATTATTTCCTGATCAGCACAAAATCTACTATGAAAACATATGAAATTTGATATTATTTAAAGTCTTTTTTTGAATCATGTTCATATAGAACACTGCCAATAAATTTTACATAGCTTTGAAGGTATTTTGTGAAAAATGATGCAAATATAACATAATTTTGTTCACCCATCAATTATTTCTCAATTGTTGATAATATGATCTGCAGTCAATATTATGCTAATAGTGTGTGGGATTTCCCTAGCTTTATAATCTCCTGGGCATTGAATCCACTAAGTTTGCTAACACCTCATTAATTATCTTATTCCACTCTTTCTTTAGTGTTGCAAAAAGCTCATTCCGATTTTTAGAAAGATTTTTTCTTGCTCTCACTTTCTTCTCTAAATGATCCCATAAATTTTTAATCAGATTTAGGTCAGGGCTTTGGTGGCCATGGCAAATATTGTTTTTTTCTTTGAAAGACTCAACAATTGTCATCCTGAAATATTAATGGGCTAATTCTATGCTTTCTCATAAATGATAACAAATGTTGTTCAAGCAGCTCCACATAGACCTTAGCTGTTACTGATTCACCATTTGTGGACTAATAAACAATTTCTTATACTTAACCTATTATTCATTATTATTATATCATTATTATTATGTGACATTACTACTGATGATAATGTTAACCGTTAGCATCATTTATTCAAGGCCAAATGATGGCATTATTGTCTTCTGGAAATAACCTTGCAACGATTACGTTTACGAGGAGGATTATAATAATGATTTGTTTTAGCATTGTTATTTTGAAGATATGGAGTGATGGTTTCGCGTATTTTTTATTTCATTCAGTTTTTACTGTTACGCTTATTATACTGTTTATGTAAAGGAAAGGGGAGTTAACATTTTGAGTAACTTTTTTGCTCACAATATGTGTACTTATTAACATTTTCCTATAATGACTCAAAATTGAATTGGCTTAACTAAAGTATTTCATTATCACAGTCAACTACTGCAAGATATGTTGGAGTGTTGAGGATGATAAATCACTATGTATTGTATGTAATATTAATATACATAACCTGATACAAACTTGAATCCAAAAACCCAGTTTATGAAAATAAGAAATTAATGAAAAGATGAGATGATAATGTTATTTATTCTCTTGTATAGTCCTTTTACTAATAAAATTTCTTGCTCTTGCAAGAGCCACATTACAAATCATATTGAGAGAAAAGAAATTTACTACTGAAGTCTGAACAATATAGCCTATCATTGCATCTAAATAGTAATACTGGTTACTTTCATATCTAATCATCTGGCATTGTTCTTCTATCACATAATTTATTCACATGGGAGCTGAACAAACCTGTTCTTATCAACAACTTTTGGATATTACATCAGTGTGTTGTGTTCATCATCCTAATCTATCTTTATATTATGCCAATGGATCATAGAAGTTATGGTATGGGGATGCTTTACAAAAACTGAGGTTGGGCCATTGGTAATGCTTGTGTTACGGTCGGCAATTGTTTGGTTGGGAGAGCCAATTAAATCTTTAATGTAGGCGTGTTCACCGACCAGGGAGTTG